CAATAAAAATATGACTAGGGAAGGTTTGCCTACTCAGAATAGAGTTGATCATGATGACATGAATGGAGTACAACTTTTGGGGCTTTCATTTGCTGGTGGGACACAAATCATCCATTAATAATCCAATTAAACATGTTACATCCAATGTAAACATCCATTAATAATCAGAACATAGAATGTACGAAGTATGAATATGGGAAAATTGGAAGTTGTCAAAAATGAAATACATAAACATCAGTATCCTAGGCATTGGTGAGTGAAATGAACTGGTATTGGTTATTCTGGATCTGACAGTCATATGGTCTACTATGCTGAGAGTATCAAATTGAAGAGGAATGGTGTCACATTTATCATCAAAAAGTTATTTCAAGATGTCTTGAAATTCAATGCTGTCTGTGATAGGATAATATCCATTCGCATACAAGGAAGACCAGTTGATACCATTGTTACTCACATTTACACACCAACCACTAAAGCCATTGATGATGAAACTGAAGAATTCTACCAACTTACTCAGTCTGAAATTGACCAAACATGCAATCAAGATGTATAGATAATTATTGGTGACTGCCAATGCAAAGTTGGAAACAAAGAGGAAAGATCAGTAGTTGGAAAATATGGCCTTGGTGATAGAAACGATGCCAGAGATTGAATGATAGAAATTTGTCAGACCAATGACATTCATTTTTACACAACATAAAAGATGACTATACAACTGGACCTTACTAGATGGGATAAACAGAAATAAAATTAACTACATCTGTGGAACTCTGGTAGTGTAGTGGTTACGAATCGGGCTGCAGACCACAAGGTCAGCAGTTCGAAACTACCAGCTGCTCCCCAGGAGACAGATGAGGCTTTCTGCTCCCATAAAGATTTACAGCCTTGGAAACCCTGTTCAGGGTCGCTATGGGTCGGAACCGACTCGACGGCACTTAATAACAACAACATCTGTGAGAAGAGATGGTGGAAAATCTTCATATCATCTGTCAAAATTAGGCTGGACAGACTGTGGAACAGACTATTACTTATTCATATGCAAGTTAAGCCTGAAACTTAAACAAATTAAAACAAGTCCACAAGAGCCAAAATATGACCTTGAACATTTCCCCTCTGAATTTAGAGATTGTCTCAGGAACACATTTGGTGCATTAGACACTAATGACCGTAAACAAGAGGAATTGTGGGATAACATCAAGAAAAGTCTTACAGGAAGAATGCAAAAGGTCATTAAGACAAGAAAAGGAAAACACCAAAATGGATATCAGAAGAACCTCTGAAACTTGCTTCCCAGTGTAGAGATGCTAAAGTAAATGGAAGCTATGAGGAGATAAAAAAAAGTTGAGCAGAAAAATTCAAAGGGCAGCTCCAGAAGACAGTGTCAGGTATTATGATGAAATGTAAAAAAGACCTGCAGTTAGAAAACCAAAAGGGAAGAACAGGCTCAACAATTCTCAAGGTGAAAGAAATGAAGAAAAATTTAAGCATTGATTACAATATTAAAGGGTTCTATGGACAAAATATTGAAAGTGGAATTTTCAGTCATTGTACCAAAAAGTAATGGTTAATGTTCACCCATTTTAAGAGATAGCATATGATCCCAAGCCAATGGTATGGAAGGAAGAAGTCAAAGGTGTACTGAAGGTTTTGGCAAAGAACACGGCTCTGGTATTGATAGAATACAAATTCAAATCTTTCAACAAACTAATGCAGCATTGGAGGCCCTCTCTCATTTACACCAAGAGTTTTAGCTAATAACTAGCCAAATGATTGGAAGAGGTCTATATTTATGTTCATTCTGAAGAGAAGTGACCCAACAGAACGCAAAAGTCATTGGACAATATCATTAATAATCACATACAAGTAAAATTTTGTTGACGGCAATTTAAAAATGGCTGCAAGAGTACATTGATAAGGAACTATCAGAGGTTAAATCCCAATTCAGACAAGACACTGGGACAAGGGATATCATTGCTGACATCAGATGGATCTTGTTTGAAAGTAGAGAATATCTGCTTTATTGTAAGTTCTTTCAGCTATGTGGATCATAAGAAGCTTTGGATAACATTGCAAAGAATGAGTATTCCAGACCATTTAATTGTGTTTGTGAGAAACCTGTATATAGACCTAGGGTACAGAACAAGGTGATACTGAATGGTTTAAAATCAGGAATGCTGTGCTTCAGGGTTGTATTCTTTCACCATACTTGAGTAAATAATCTGAAAAGATGAATTATATGAAGAAGAATATGGCATAAGGATTGGAGGAGGACTAACAATCTGAGATGTACAGTTGATAGTAGCTTCATCTGAAAGAGAAGAGGACTTAACATACTTAATGATGAAGATCAAAGACCAGAGCTTTTAATATGGGCTCATTGTAAAAAAACAAAAAAACAAAAATCCTCACCACCATTTATTGAACCAATGTATTTGTCATCGTGGACCAATAAATAACATCATAATACATAGGGAAAATATTGAAGTTGTCAAAGACTTCATTTTGCTTTGATCCAGTATCAACACTCATAGAAGCAGCAATAAAGAAATCAAATAACATTTTGCACTAAGCAAAACTACTGTACAGGACCTACTTAAAGTATTCAAGAACAAAGATGTCACTTTGATGTCTAAAGTGTGTGTCACTCAAGCCATGGTATTTTCAGTGTGAAACTTGGACATTGAATAAGGAAAACCATGGAAGAATCGACGCAGTTGAGTTATGGTATTGGAGAAGCATATTAAAAGTACCATGGACATCCAGAAGAGGAAACACATCTTTTTTTGCAAGAAATACTGTTGGGAGCAACTGAGCTGAAGGTCTGCAGCCTGGGAACAGTTTAACCTAGGGTTACAGCTGCCCTCTTGGTTGTCGCAAAGTGTGACCTTGAATTGTGGGCCACCAAAAGTTGTGGCTCATGACATCAGGCTGCACCCAGGCTTAGCTGACCCTTGAGTCTGCAAAGTGAGCTCAAGGGAAAAGGATCCTGCAAAACAGGTCCTTGTACACAGGTATGACTTTTAGCTCAGTCTGCAGAAACATTTAGCTGTGTTCCGGCCTGCTTCTACAAGTTACAGTTTTTCTGATAAAGGTCTGCTTACTGCATGCACTTTCAGCTCAAAATGTTCCTGCATTCCTTACCCTCCCTCAAGCACCTACCCTTGAGTGGTATATATAATAAACGTACTGAATCTAGATCTGAGCCACAGTATCTCCATCAGAATCCTGCGTCCCACCTGGTCTCAACTTTACTTATTTCAATTGTGTCTTGTGTCTTTCTTTTATTTCTCATCTCTCGTCGCCCCTGTTGTTGTTGTTGTTAAGTGCTGTCGAGTCGGTTCCGACCCATAGCGACCCTGTACAGGGTTTCCGAGGGTGTAAATCCTTACGGGAGTAGAAAGCCTCATCTTTCTCCCGCAGAGCAGCTGGTAGTTTCGAACCGCTGACCTTAAGGTTCGCAGCCCGATTCATAACCACTACGCTACCAGAGCTCCTACTCGGCTTTATCTCTCCTTGCGGGTCGTGGAGTATAGCTGATTGTTGGACATGGCAGTTGGCCCCGCAAAATACAGTTAGAATGCTCCTTAAATCAAAATGGTGAGACATTGTCACTCATATTTAGGACATATTATCAGAAGAGACCAGTCCCTGGACATTGTGCTTGGTAAAGTAGAAGATCAGTGTAAAAGAAGAAGATCCCAAATAAGATAGATTGGTACAGTAGCAGCAGCAATAATAAAGATTGTGTTGATGGCACAGTATGAAAGTTGAAAATTGAAACAAGGCAGGTTTCGTTCTGTTGTGCATAGAGTCTCTATGAGTTGGAGCCTACTTGTTTTCTGGCACCAAGATACAGAAATCTTAGTGACTGCTTAGAGCATACACTTACAAAAGACTGTGCATTTTGCTGGTGGTGATGCAGTATCATGTAAGTGTCAGGTCAAGTTGGTTGACAGTACTTTTAAATATTTTTATAGATTTTCTTAGTATGCTTAAGAGAAATTGTTGAGATCTTCTATTATAATTGTGCGTTTGTCTATCCATCCTTTTCTATCATTTTTTTGTATTCATATATATTGAAACACTGTTTCAAAACATTTAGAATTGTTTTTATATCTGCTTAAATTGCTTTAATAAATATTTAGAATTATTTCCATCTTTGAATGAATTACTTCTTTTACCATTATGAAATGCCACTTTTTATATCTGATGATATTTCTTAATCTGAAATCTATTTGATATGATAATGAAGTCATCAAATGAATTTTGATAAGCATTTTAAAAACATATTCTTTTTTATACTTTATTTGTAACCTATTGCCCCCTTTTTAAAGTTGTTTTCATGGTAGCTTATAGTTGTTTGCTTTCCTATCTAATCTGACCATTTGCCCTTAAGTTGAACTATTAGATGGAACATTTTATTTAACAGATTAGCTCCATAATTGGCTTAAATTTTCCACTTTGTCTTTTATTTTCTATTTGTCCCATCGTTTGTTTGTTTGCTTGTTCCTCTTTTCCTGCCTATTTTTGGACTGAGGCTTTTTCTTTTCATCTTCACTGTCTGTATGTACTATTTATAGAATTGTATTGTCTTTATGGATGAAAATAGTAGTTGTTATTTCTCCCTTCCATGTATATAGTTGGAATAAATTGCTTCCGCTCTCTCATCTCCCATAAACTACTCTTTGCCTCTATGACTTTAAGAAAGTGTCTTTCCCTTTTTATAGTCAGGGAGAAGGAGGTATTTTATATAACTCTCTTTCCGCTGTCGTAAAATTTGCAACCTCAGAAACCCTATAGAGTGTCCCTATGATTCAGTGTAGACTTTATGGCAGTGGGTTTGGTTTCTGTTAATCCAACTAACCAACCAATTCTCAAGTATTTTCCAATTCATGGTAACCCATGAGTATATGTTAGATCTGTTCTTTAGAAATAAATTACTGAGTACAGTCCTATAGAAATTATTATTTTTCCCTTCTCTTCATTTTCACTTTCTTTAGGAATTAGAAATTAAGAAAATGGCCAAGATTGGTAATAAAGAAGCTTGCAGGGTTTTAGCCAAACAACTTGTCCATTTGCGGAAACAGAAAACAAGAACCTTTGCTGTAAGTTCAAAAGTCACTTCTATGTCCACACAAACAAAGGTGATGAATTCACAGATGAAGATGGCTGGAGCAATGTCTACTACAGCAAAAGTAAGTAGTACCTTTATAGCATTAGATTTATATTACGACGTATAAATTTTATCTTCAAATCAAATATAAAACCAACATCTATTATATACATGGCACTGTTTTCATGTAATTTTTAGTAAATAACCCAGACACTCATAACTGGATTCTTTATTGGTTATTTTTTTCTTGTTTTAGAATGTTTCCATTTTCCAAAGATCACAAATTTATGATTTAACAAAAGTGTTCTATGGCTTCTAGATTCATAAAATTAACTTAATATAGGGTTAGCTTTTTCACCTTAAAAAAATTGTTATCAAAATATTTGGGGGCATCTTATTTCATTAGGCTATAAGTTCTGACTACTTTTAAGTAATAATTTGTCATTGATTCATTTTCATATGAATACTATAAGAATTTATTAGCTATTGTTTCACAAGAACTTTTTTAACATAAATAATGTTTTTACTGTAGTGTTAAAGGAGTCTTGAGTCTTTTAATCATAACACAAAAAAAAATGTTATATATAAAATACTGGAAGGAGCTAGAAGAAGTTTAGGACAAAGACCCTGCCCTTTAGGATTTTATAGTTTAGTTAGCGAGGTTAAAATATTTCTGAAAAGAAAATTACCCAATAGACATTCGTCTCTGCTAAGCTTTGTTGAATTGCATTTGTTGTTGTTAAGTGCTGTCGAGGTGGTTCTGACTCATAGCAATCCTGTTTAGGGTTTCTGGGGAGTGGCTGGTGAGCTTGAACTGCTGACCTTGTGGTTCAAACTGACCTTGCAGTCCAGTGCATTAACCTGCAGCAACACACCAGGACTACATTGAATTGCATGGTTCTTTGAATAGCTTGATCCAAAAGGGGTTGTAAAAGACCTACACCCTAAAATATTATTAGGTATTGGATATGTTGTTGTAGTTGTTGTTATTAAGTGTTGTCTAGTCGGTTCTGACTCACAGTGACTCTGTACAGAGTTTACAAGGAGCAGCTGGTGAGTTTGAACCACCAACCATGTGGTTCAAATCGACCTTGTGGTCCAGTTCTTCATCCCACAGTGCCACACCAGAATTCCATATTGTTGTTTTGTGCTATCAGGTTGGTTCTGACTCATAGTGACCCTGTATAGATTTTCCAAGGAATGTTTGGTAGGTTTGAATCACTAACATTGTGGTTGGCAATCCAATGCTCATCATAACAGCACCACACCAGTGACACATTATTTTCACTGCCTTCAAGTTGACTCCGATTCTAGGAACCATATAAGTCAGAATAAAATTGCTTATAGGGTTTCCAAGGTTGTAAATCTGTATGGAAGTTTGTTGTTGTTATGTGCTGTGGAGTCGGTTCCATCTCATAGCGACCCTGTACATGATTTCCGAGGCTATAAATCTTTACAGGAGCAGAAAGCCTCATCTTTCTCCCGTGGAACTGCTGGTAGTTTCGAACTGCTGACCTTGTGGCTCGCAGCCCGATTCGGAACCACTACGCTGCCAGAGCTGCTTTTCTATAAGTGAACCTAATATGGTACTTCCACATAGAGTTGTTTAAAATTGAATTAGTACTTAAATTTATCATAAATGTATTAATTCAGGAAATATTTCTTTAGATCCTCTAGGTAGGAACTAAGACAAATGATGGAGATGAAATAGAAAGCCAAATCGGGCAAGGACTTAGCCTTCCTGGAGTTTAGTCTATTTAGAGGTAATCTCATTAGAAGTAGTTTGTATAGTGGTTAAGAACATACACTTTGAAGGCAGAAAATCTGAGTTCAAATCTCACCTCCACTTAGTAGCCGGATGATCTTGGGCAAGGTAAAGCTGCCTTTCTGGACTTTCATGCCCCTTATGTAAAATATAAAAAATGTTAGTACCAGTAACTACCACATGAAGTTTCTGTCAGGGTTAAATGTCATTTATCTTTAATTTTAATATGTAGAGAGTTCTGGCGTGGTGCTGTAGGATAAGCACTGGACTGCTAACCACAAGGTTGGCAGTTCAGACCCACCAGGTGTTCTTTTGAAACCCTATATAGGATCACTAAGAGTCAGAATCAACTTGATTGTTCTTAACAACAGTAACAAAAGTGGAGTCCTTGTTTGGCACTATTAGATAACCACAGGACTGCTAACCGCAAGGTTGGCACTTCAAACTGAACATCCACTCCTCGGAAACCCTATACAGGGTCACTATGAGTTGGAACCAGCAATAAAGCAACATATGTGAAGTTCTTAAAATAGGCCTAGCATATAAGATTATGCAGGTATTAGCTAGATTATTAGTATTATCAAGTATTATTATTGTTATTGTCATTATTTACTCTATATCTATACTAAGGAACTCTGGTAGCATAGTGGTTACGAATCAGGCTGCGAACCGCAGGGTCAGCAGTTCGAAACTACCAGCTGTTCCGTGGGAGAAAGATAGGGCTTTCTACTCCCATAAAGATTCACAGCCTTGGAAACCGTGTACAGGGCTGTTATGAGTCAGAATCGACTCCACGGCACACAGCCAGTCACCATATCTATCCTAATATAATTTAAACCAATAAATACAAACTTTCAGTGATAGTGAGTAAGATTTAAATAGGGTTATCCATTCTAATCTGGCTAGTCAGAGACTACTTATCTAAGAAAGTGATATATAAACTAAAATCTGAAGTATTGATAGTGAAAGCAGATGGACAATTGCATTCCACACGAGGACCTGACATAAACAAAGGTCCTCTGGTGGCGCTGTAGATTAATGCACTGGACTGCAAAGTTGGTTTGAACCACAAGGTTGGCAGTTCAAGCTTACCAGCTGCTCCTTGAAAACCCTATACAGGGTTGCTATGGATCGGAACTGACTCGATGGCGCTTAACAGCAACAACATGGCAGGAGAAAGCTTGGCATCTTTAAGGAAATAAAAGATCAGTGTGGCTAAAGTGCAATAGTGCAGAATGAGACCGGAATGGTAATCAGAGTTTAGTCCAGGTTGTGTCCCATCACTAAATTATAGAAGTTACCTTTAAATGTGTAAGATCAGTGGAAAACCATTGGAGAGTTAGGTTTGTTGGGATGGAGTCTTGGAGTGGTGGAGGAAATATAGTGTTACACTTTAAAGAGATTACTTTGGCTACAGCATTACATATAAATTGAAAAAAGTGCTTCATATCTTTTTAAACCTATGTTTTCTGTTGTATGGTTTCTTCTAATATACAAATTTGCTGTATCTGTATTTGCATATGTATAAACCAAATTTCTCTTTGTTGTCATTTGCCATTGAGTCGACTCTGACACAGGGCATTCCCCATGTGTAGAGACCTTTCAGAAGCAGATTTCCAAGCTTGTTTTCTTAGGTACCTGTGGGTAGCTTCAAACCACACACCTCTCAGCTACTGTCTATCTGTGCCAAACCAGATCACGTTAATCTGTTTGAGTGAAATAAGTTATGAATATATAATGTAATAATTCTCTAAACATGTTTTTGTAAAACTTTTTTTATTTTTTTCATTTCTGAGCCACTGTTCAGAATGCACTGATAGATTAAATATGTATGTCATTGTATCCTCCAGCCCCTTTTAAAATTCAAACATTTTTATAAAGGAAACCAACCTGCTTACTACCTAATAGGTAAACTTAATTTTACCATTTGAATTTTAATGGATTTTATGTTGTCAGTGTTTTTTATTCCATAGTGCTCTGTTTAGTGTTGAGAAGAGGTTGTTCACCCTGGTCTTTATCATATAGTTGTTAAGCAGATGGCTTCCAAATGAGTGTTTAGTTTTTCTAGAATACTTAAAGTCTTTATGCTTTACTGTGATGAGGTATATATCTTTTTAAATCTGTTTCCCATATGATGCTTCTTCTTTAGAATTATTTCATAGTAAAATTTTCATAATCATGTAGCTAACATAAAATCTTTCATATATTTAAAGACAATGCAGGCAGTTAACAAGAAGATGGATCCACAAAAGACATTACAAACAATGCAGAATTTCCAGAAGGAAAACATGAAAATGGAAATGACTGAAGAAATGAGTAAGTTTAATAAGTTGTAATAAAATTTATAGTTTTATTATCTTTGAATTACCCAATTTTACTTACTAGCAACCTCATTTTCTTCATGAAGGCAGACAGAATAAAAAAAGAAATGATACAGTACCTCTATATGTAGACATTTAAATTTTAACGTAAATGCTGTTTTTAAACTAGCAGTATATGAGGCTAAGAATTCTATTAACTGAAGAAAAGTAACAAAACATACATTTCTGTGACATAGTGGTATTTGGTTTTTTTTCCATCTCCTCCCTAAGCCATTGTATAATTTTAAATATGGTTTCAGTTTTTTTAATTTTGAATATAATGGAAATAGGGAGAAAACAAAGAAACTAAGCACATAAAAATAATCTATCTTGACACCAGCCATATGTAGTTACTGTTTTGTTATACTGCTTTTTAACATCATAGTTGTTGTTTTTGAGTGGTCCCGTCGAGTCAATTCTGACCCATAGCGACCCTGTATAGGGTTTCCAAGGAGGCATTGGTGGGCTTAAACCGCCAACCTTGCAGTTCAAACAGCTTTGCAGTCTGGCACATTAACCCACAATGCCACACCAGGACTCCAGTATACCATAATTCTACAACAACAGCAACAATCCTCTCTTGTCTTTTTTTTAAAAGCTGTTTAATATTTCATGTCATCAGTATACGCTAACTTACATAACTATTTTTATACTTGCCAGTAAGATTCTTTTGAATTTTTTATTACATTTGATAATTCTTGATTAAATATGTTTATATAATTTGGTCTGAACTTCTGACATAATCTGTAAGTATTCTTTTGATTCATACTTTCTGGAAAGACCAATTTTCTGTTTTACCAACAGTGAAGAAATGTTGGTAAAACTCTGCTCAATTGGATCATTATTTATGTGCTATGTCAAAAACTGGCATCAGTGTTTTGCAAAGATTTTTTCTAATTGCTTTAAAATTATGTAGCATATGCTAGTTTAGTCCCACTTGTTTGCTAAAAGTTTAGTTAAACAGCATTCACACCACATCAGGATTATTAAATTTACCATCTTTCTTGTAGTCTACTTCAGAGTCTTTCCTTCAAGGGTTTAATGGTATGTCTGTCTTTAAAAATTCTAAAAGTTCTTTGTTTAAATTTTTCTTTGAACCTGTCGGGCATTGTCATTTTTTTCTAAGACTTTTTAAATATTAATGAATTTTAGATAACTTAGAGAATATGATTATACTGTCTTAGGTAGAGTGATCATAACATCTAACATGTGGTTTGCAGTGATCACCGGGTGCAAGCAGGTTTTATCGGATGAATTAGTTTTCCATTAAGCTGTAAGAAGAGAACCGATAAGCCTGTACTTTCATGGATATCGGTTGTATTTTAGTGACTTGCAAATTAGTCTGAAATAATATTAGTGATTGGTTTTTATCAGGAATTCTGGGCTTCTATCCACAGTGTCAGCAATTCGAGTCCACCAGGTGCTCCTCAGGGGAAAGATGAGGCTTTTTTTTAAGCACCGTAATGATTTACAGCCTCAGACACCCTATGCAAGGTGGCTCTGAGTGGGAAGTAGACTTGACAGCCCACCATCACCACCACCATTGGTTGTTGTCAGGTTCCATTGGACATAATTCTCATTTTGGACAAGTTCAATAAAGTTTTTACTTTAGAGTTGTTCAAATATACTTCCTACCATTCAGATGTAAATTTGAGAGGCTGAAAATAGGCAGTAGCTATAAACAGAGTAAGTTGTTTCTTAAATATTAACAGGATATTTGATTTTTGCAAATTCTCCCTGGTGAGGTGTAACAGCTGCCAGCTCAATAGATAAGAGCTTTGGAATCATATTTTAAAATTTTAAGCTTGTAAACTATGATGTCATAAAGTTACTAGCTATTAGACATATGATTTTTAAAAATCAGATTAGATTTGTTCTATTATTGAATATGTTTTGAGGTGAACATCATTCCCAATTTTAGGCCTCAAAATGTATTCATTGTAAGCTGACAATTTGAAAGGGATCTTCATAGTTTTTTCACTTAAATTTACTCTTGTATAATATAAAAGTGTATATATTATATCTGTGTTTGTATATATATTGCATAGTCACGTTATCGTGTAAAAATGTAAAGCTAAACTGAAACCTGTTTGAAAGTAAACTGCTTTATTTCCTTTCCAAGTCAATGATACACTGGATGACATCTTTGATGGCTCTGATGATGAAGAGGAAAGTCAGGATATTGTGAATCAAGTTCTTGATGAAATTGGAATTGAAATCTCTGGAAAGGTATAAATATCTTCCTTGCTCATTGGAGATAGTGTATACCACTTTTGTCACCTAATTGTTTTAAAATGCCCTTTACTGTTAGGTGCTTGTTAAGTAAACCAAACTTATTTGCAGCACATACTTTATTGTTCTTGTTAGTTGCCATCAACTATAACTCATGGCATGTTCTAGTCCATTTGTTTGATAATGCATCTTTTTTTTTTTTCTTTTTTTTTCTCTTCTTCTTTCTTTCATATAGATGGCCAAAGCTCCGTCAGCTGCCCGAAGTCTACCATCTGCTTCTACTTCAAAGGCAACAATCTCTGATGAAGAGATTGAAAGGCAACTCAAAGCCTTAGGAGTAGATTAGACACTAAAGTCATAATATTTTTGCTTATATAATATTCTTTAGTAAAAGCCAGGCGCCATACAGATTCATTTTACAAACCAAGTTTATTTTGCAAAAAATGAAGACCATGAGTGAACAATTGTTTCCTAACCCATGGCTATTTTGAATCTTTTGCCAAAGAATGACAATGTTGCAAAAATGGGAAGAGTTTGGATTTTAATTACAACAATTTAGTAGTGATATGTAAAAAGTTGACTTATGTTCCGTATGGCATAAGAAATTATATTCATTACTTGGTGTCAGATTATGTTCTAAATATTTTACAATCGATATAACAATCTTGTTAATTGCTGGTAGGAATCAATCTTTAAAAACTTGTAAAAATATTAAAGGAATATCATTAATTCTGTGTCTGTTGCTTGTCCTTTGTAATAAGTGATTATGTGTTTTGACCATAGGCTGTTAAACTGTCAATTTTTTTTCCTTTAATATTCTTTTTTTTTTTTTTTTTTGTAAGTTTTTAAAACATTTTATTGTGCTTTAGTTGAAACTTTACATAGCAAATTAGTTTTCCAATTAGTAGTTCCAAATTATTTTTAAATGATCTAAAAATAAAGTGCTATTTAAACATCTGTCTTTAAAAACATAAACTGTCATGATTTTTTTTTTCCCCCTATGGGAGAACATTACAGTTGGTAAGTTTATTACCTTTTAAAATGTGCTTGGCACTTGCCTTAAACAGCACAAACATACTGTGCATGACTTTAAATTATTTTAACTGGCAAAAAAGAAAATTGCATTTTAAACTAAAATGAGGCCTCTTTCAAAAATTAAGGTTCTCATCTGTAAAGTTCATAAAAGTGAATTGGATGTAACTAGCAAAATACCAAAATACTAAATTAGTAACATTATGTAAGTAGTAAAACATTGTATTTTGGTCTTTCTCCCAAGAAGTAAGGGGATTCTTTCCATGTTAATGATAATTTAGTCTCTGTTTACATTGAACCCTGTATAATACTGAATTCTCTATTGAATCCTCTAAATTGATTTCATCATCTTCATTTGATGCTACCACTATAACAATACTTAAGTATTTAAAATAAAAATAACATTTTTTTGGTAAATAAACCACAGCTTTGTCAGAAATTACTGCCTATATGTGTATTAATATATTAGCAGTACTTTTTAACGTACTGCCTTGATGTGAAATGTATGTATAGTTAGAAAATAGGAGGGAGACTGGAAGATTGGTTAGGAACAGAATTTAGAATTATAATAGTTTTGAAAAATGATTGTAATATGTGAGTTTCAGCACATTCCACCATAAAAACTAGGGCGGAACTCAGATATAACCTGGTTAACATGAGATTACAGTTGGGACTATTGTTGATAAATAGTAAATCAATGTTAGGATAAGTATACATACAGTAAAAGGATTAGTAGTGGGAGGAATGAAAAGCTCTATAATTTATCATCTGTAAACCATTTTATAATGCTCAAAGATTAGGTGTCATTATTGATAATATTAAATCCACAGTTTGCCTAAGTATTAATGTGGCAAAATTTTTTGATGTATTATGGAATTTTAACCTAGAATACTTTTTTGATTCTAGGATGTTTATAATAATGCCAACTAACATACTTTTCTTTCACGTTTACTTGTGGTAGATATTGTTTCTACAGATTATTTTATTTTAAAAGAAGATCCCAATAAAAATCTATTGCTGCTGTACTTTCTTTTTCTTTTTGAAATGTGTTTTACCTTCTTTTAGACTTCTGCTAAAATTAAAAGTTCCAGTGGTTTTTTGAAAAATGATTTCTATTATTTTCCTCAAAGGAAAATTAGGTAAAAAAATTAGGTATATTTTGGCAGAAAGTCTTTTTAGTAATTAGAAACAAGGCTGGTGCTGCTTAATTGTTAGTGTGATCATATGAAATTGATCATATGAAATTTCCTAGACTTTCTATGTGATAAATATTGTTTTGTCAAATTTTTATACATTTATTGTTAGCTGTTGTGATCAAGAGGATTTTCATTGGTTGTTTTTTTTTTTTTTTTTTTTTAAGTAGATTACCAGTCCTTTCTCTCTGCATTAGTTTGGAGGCTCCACTAAAACTTACTCACTATCAAAGCAATACAACCCTCCACTAACAGACAGGTTGTGGCTGCACTTGAGGTGATTGCTTGGGAATTAAACCTGAATCTCTGAATGGAACATGAAAATCCTGCCTCTGAACCACCACTGCCCCTCTCTACATATAAGTCATAGTTATTTCTTTCAAAAATGGACTTTGGGACCCCAGCAGAGAGATTCCTGCAATTCTGATATGGCTACATTTTACAAAATGCTGTGGGAGCAGTAGTCCAGTTGCTATGAATCTGTAATGTTACTTTGTTCTTTGCTATAACTATACAGTTCCTTTTGGACCCTTAAAGATTAGGAAATGAGTATTCTTATACACATTGAGCACAATGGCTATATATATATATTTACCTGTTTTGAAAATTTGCTCTAGCTCTGGTAGCGTAGTGGTTACGGATCGGGCTGCGGACCTAAAAAGGTCAGTGGTTCGAAACTACCAGCTGCTCCGTGGGAGAAAGATGAGGCTTTCTACTCCCGCAAGGATTTACACCCTCGGAAACCCTGTACAGGGTCACTATGGGTCGGAACCGACTCGACGGCACATAACAACAACAACAATTTACCATTTTAATAAAATAATTTCTCTGATAGCTATATTCAAAATGCATACATGCTTTTTTTAAAGCAAAATTAAAAGATTGACAATAGAAAGAAAGCCAAATCCAAAAATGTATTACAAAGGAGTTGATTCTGACTCAGAAACAATAGAACTGCCCTAGTGTTTACAACACTGCAAATCTTAAAGGAAACAGACTGCTATTACGTCTTTCTCTAGTGCACTGGCTGGTGGGTTAAACCAACCTTTTAATTAGCAACTGAGTGTTTAGCCACTCTGCAGTGATATCTCTGTTACTGAAAATAACACACTCTTGGGCAAATCTGGTGTGCAAGACCTTTTTTAAGTGTTGAAGAGAAAAGATGTCAGCTTGAGGACTAAGGTGCACCTGACCCAAGCCATGGTATTTTCAATAACTTCATATGCATGTGAAAGTTGGACAGTGAATAAAGAAGACCGTAGAAGAATTGATGCTTTTGAGTTATGGTGTTGGGAAAGAATATTGAAAGTGCCATGGGCTGCCGAAAGAACTAACAGATCTGTTTTGGAAGAATTGCAGCCAGAGTGCTCCTTGGAGGCCAAGATGGCCAAACTTCGTCTCTTATACTTTGGACATACTTTCAGGAGGGACCAGTTGCTGGGTAAGGATATTATGTTTGGTAAGGTGGAGGGTCAGACAAAAAGAGGAAGAACCCTAATGAGATGGATTGGCCAAGTGGCAGCATCGATGGACTCAAGCTTGGCAACAGTAGTGAGGTTGGCCCAGGATCGGGCAGTGTTTCATTCTGCTGTGCATAAGGTCGTTATGGGTTGGTACTGACTCGATGGCACCTAAAAACAACAACAAGTATCACACCTGGTTGCCAGACTCAGGAGATTTCAAACTATCAGAGAAGTACAGTGTAATTCAGAAATACCAGTACTTGTACTAATAGTACCTGATTTTAGAAAACATAAAATGATCATCTGTCAGATGATCATATCACACTGTGCTCCATGAGGAGGCTGTGGTTATGATGGGTTGTGGAATGGCTTGAGATTATGATCCTCTAGACTAGAAGTTGACCAAACATAGACTTTATGTTTGGCCTGTAGCAGTGTGTTTGTTTGCACTGGTGTTACTCTCTAGGATCAGCACTGGACTGCTAACCACAAGGGTAGTGGTCAGGCCCTCCAGCAGCTCCTCAGAAAACGATACAGGGATGCTATGAGTCAGAACTGACAACAGCACTTAACAACAACAATGCTTCAGTCCTAGTGTGACACTGTAGGATTAGCACTGGACTGCTAACTGCAAGGTCGGCAATCCAAGCCCACCAACCATTCTTTGGAAATCCTATACAGGATTATTAAGAGTTGGAATCAACTTGATGGCACTAAAAACAGTAACAATGCCTTTAGAAAATACCATTGTCTCCTTTTAGCCACATACAAAATTCCCTGCATGCCCAGGAATCATACATCTAGCCTGATCCTTAAAATGCGTAGGTCTGGTGATGTGTTGCCAAAAAAATCAGTCATTAAGAAACGTTATAGAGCACAGTTCTACTCTGGAACACATGGGGTTGTCATAGTTCCTTGGGAACTTGCTTTTTTTATTAAGCCTTTTTGTTGTTGTTGAGTCAGTTCTGACTCATCATGACCATGAATAGGGTTTCTGAGGACTGGTGTTCTTAAACTGCTGACCTTGTAGTTCAAACTGACTTTACAGTCCCCCACATCAACCCACAGCACCACCCCAGGAATCCCTAATGAGACTAAGACTAATGTATTACAAATAAATTTTGCCTACAGCCATTCACTGATTGCAGAGACATGTTAAACTCTTTATTTGGAATAAACCTGCCTGTATGAACAAGAGTGCTGGTGTGGCATTGTAGGATAATACACTGGACCACAAGGTCACTTTGAAACGCAAGGTTGGCAGTTCAAACCTCACCTTGATGGCACATAATAACAACAATGTATGAACTAGAACCCTAGTAACAATACCTTTTGGTTTGGTTTACCTTAGTATATACGATGATTACAATCAAAGTATATATATATACATGTTTATTTTTTATTTATATTTTTTAAATGTTTTATT